GGTTTTTGGTTTGTTGTGTTGTATACTGGTCACTTTAGTACAGTCCAAACAGTACATCCTACTCTAATATCATAGACTCAGCGTTAGATATTCATTACCTTCGTTCCTTCGTTCCTATCTTCCTTCTTATCTTATAATGTACAAATCAAATCCTGATACTCAATCCTCATCCTGCATCGATACCAAACCCATATCTAACCACCGTCCTCTATACATCAACACGAACACACCTCTCCAGACCACAAACACAACCCCCAAACCTATACCCAACCCACCCTTAAATATCCAACACAAAACCCGGAACAGCAACTCAAAACCACCATCCTTAGCAGAAAGCAACCAACCAAGCATACCCACCCTCATCTCCAAACAAAAACCAAGCGAGTAAGCAAGTAGCCAACCAGCCTCACCCCATATCTACAAGAACCAACTTACCTCCCCCCCCCCCCAAGGCTTAACAAAACCCCGAAAAAGCAATACAACGACCACCCCAGAATTCCCCGGAATCCTACCGCAGGACTTACTCCCTAAGCCCAAGCCCAAGCCCAGGCCATGTGCAACCTAGCCCAGCCAGCCTAGCCCAGCCAGCGGCTGAACATGGAGTCTACTAGCTGACCCAGAGACGGAGATTGCAAGGACTGAGTGGGTTCGGGTACTTTCTATATATGTGTATGTCTTGCTTCTGGGGTGCAAAGTAAATACCTATCGATGATTGGAATCAAGATATTCATTCGTAAGGACTCGAGTTTACTTTACTGATGTTACTGTTACTATTACTGTTTCTAAAGAAGAATGTGTATGATGTAAGGTAATATTCTCAAATATCAGTTCATCCTGATTCTCCCCGGTTCCTTCAATCCCTATCCAGCAAGACAGAAGGGAACAAATCAAAACAAAGCAAGCAAATCAGCAAGCACATTCATCGCTGGGGTATGTTTCGCCGAGCTATGCAATTTCAAGCAAGTAACGCTGGAGCTGTTCTGTGTAACATGCTCGGGGTATGAGCTGGGAATAAATAAAAACGGTAATTAAAAAGGAAAGGAAAGAAGCGAAGCGAAGAAGAAGAGGCATACATACATGACGGGGTATCTAAACATCCGACGGACGCTTGTAAAGAGACGCTTGTGAGAGACAAAATCAAAACAATAACGGAAATCAGATAATCCAGCTGATGAGAGAACTGCGCTTGAATCCCGAAAATAGTAACCGGCGGAGAATCATGGGCATGGGCGGAAAGAGAAAACATGATTATCAGGTAATAATGAGGAACCGCCAACACCGTCGCAACAACGCATGGAAAATGAAACATTAAGGAAGGGGAGGGGAAGGGGTGGTGGTGGTGGTAAGCTAAGAGTGTACGTAGATAGGAAAACAGAATAAATCAAGGAATGCGCGGCACCGGTCGTTATCTCGCCTCATCATGAATCTTCAGGGAGGGAGTTAGAAGTCCGCATTGTCCGAGTCGAGTATCAAAGCGCATGCCAGTCAGTTTTGAGTGAGTCACTTCACTTGACTATCGGGGGAAAGGTAGGCGATCAGAGCATGCCTCGACAATGGCGGTGAGATCAAGCGGATTGATAGGCTCAGCCCGCAGTGCAACGCCCTGTTCGGGGTGTAGGGGGGGGGAGTACAGGCGATAAAGAAGTAAGTAACGAAGGAGGGGTTGATTGAAATTGGAAGGAATTCCAGTCAATTCAATCAAATGCGCCGACAGCGAAGGGGAAATTAGATAATCAGGCAGCCAGCGCTCGGGCACCAAATCAGACAGCGTGGTTGGAAACTCCGGACTGCCAATTCCGCCCGCCGGCTACGGCGCGTAACCCCAGGCTCGCGCACGTGCGGCTCTCGCTGTCGTCATCGTCGTCTTCACCCTGGTTGCCGGCCGATGGGAAATCCCCGTTCGAGAATAATCGGATGCATGGCGCCTTGTGATGTCCGGAGCCTGAGAGTCCTTCGAGAAAAAAAAAAAACAACTCTGACTGGTTGCTTCGAGGAAAAAGAGCCTGATCATCTGGCCCGAAATCCAGATACAGAAGAGACGAGAAAAAGGAAAGTCGAAAAAAGTAATTAGATGGTGACGAAAGATAAAAAAAAGAAAAAGAGCCGGATGCGAATCGCTGATCGCATATGATAAAGCCCAATAGCTGCGGATAGATCGGCGCTGATCATGGGACAGCCCTAATCTCCAACGAAACGGACCGTGGGGGGTATCGAGAGTGAAACATGCACAAGAACGCTGAGAGATGTGGTTGATGTTACAAGAGCCAGAAAAGGAAACACCCTCTTTCGGTCGTTAGACACGGCATACGGTCGCCTTGGTCCCAGAGGTGGTGCGTCTTTTCCGCTCCGGAATGGCCTTGCGCTTCTTGTTGCGTTTGGCGTTCTCGCGCTCTGTCGCGGCCACTTGAGCCACACGCATGGCCTGCTGGGCTCTGGCATGTGCTTGCACCTGGGCCAGGAACCGCGCGCGCTGAGCTTCCTCATCGGCCGCGGCGCGAAGCATCTGGACCTGCTGCTCGGTCGTCAGGTCCATGGCGGGATCCTGTGCAGCGGACTCCTCATCGATGGCGCTGTCCGAAGGGGAACCATTGGGGAAGAGATCCTCATCGGAGAGGTAAGCACTCGCAGTCGAACCCTCGGAATCGGCGCTCAGAAGAGATGGTCGGTTTGGCCAGGAGGGGAAAGCACACGAGTTGTTCAGTCCATAGCTGCTGGAGAAGGAGCACTTGCGAGGCGTGATGTCGAGCAGAGAGTCACTAGGCGAAGGAGGCGGTGGAGGCGGCAATGAGCTAGGCGAACAGGAGCTGCCATAGCTGAAGCTGAAGGAAACGGTCTGGGTGCTGGTGGTGGCCTCGCTCAACGAGGAGCGGACGCTCGACTGATTTTGACTCCACGGAAGTAGGGGATACATGGTTGTGAGTTGAGTCGATCTGCGATGTGAGAGAAATGAATCGGATGGTAGATGGTCTCGGTCGCAGAGAGATATTGTGGTTGTAGTGGTGGTGTAGTGGTGTTGAGGTGTTGAGAGTGTTGAGGTTGTTGATGTATCGATGGAAGAGTGGAGAGTGGTGATAGGAAGGAGGGAGAAGAGAGGAGTAGATATAGGATGTGGGGAGAACAAGATGATCGACCTTCTCCAAGGTGGAGGAGAGGAACTGGGGAAGTAAATAAAGCTTGGGGGTGGGAATGGACAGGACGATCGAAATGGCGGAGAGTAGAGTTCGAGGTGAATGAAGGTGTGTGTGAGTGAGTGTGAAAGAAGTCAAATAGTTAATAAGTAAGTATATGCGGATGAAAGAAGCAGGGCCAGATCGATCGGGGGAAGAGGCGTTTTTGGTCTGGACTCCCTTGCATTTGGGGGGGAGAGAGGTTGGCAGTGATAGATCCTTTCTTGGATTTTTCTTTCTTTATTTTTTTTTAATTTATTTTATTGTTCTCTTTTAATTTAAATTAAAAAAGAAAACAATAAAATAAAAATCAAGAAAAGAAGGGAAAAAGCCGAAGAGGAAATATTCAGGGAAAATGCGCCCCCCACGGGAAAAAGAACCAAACAAAAGCCGAGTTGGGAATTTTCCGCCAGCTGCAAGTCAAGCGCGGCGATCAGGCGGAAGGGGCGTCCGACGAGGAGAACGAAGGGATGAGAGACGAGAGGAAGAGGAAGAAGAAGAAGAAGTAGTAGTACCAGAAGTACCCGAGTCACGATTTGCACACGCGTGGTCTTCGCGTCGAGGTCGTGGTTGTTGATGTTGATGTTGTTGTTGTTGTTGTTATTGACGTTGAGCCACGGGCAGTATACTTCGATTTCCCTCCTGGGAAGAGCCACAAAAGTACATTGGATGAGTACTACTGTATGTATGTGTCGTTCTTCGCGATGAATCGTTGCAGGTGGACTCGATCAATCTGACAGCCAACCCTGGTCATCAAGACGTGGGAGCTATCACTTTTTCTTTTTTCCCTTTTTTTTCATCTTCAGACCGTGGGCTTTTTAGGGAGGGGGAATTTATTTATATACGAAAGCGAATCCTAAACTACGGGCCCGGGGAAGATCGGATGGAATTCCAGGCCGTGGGGGGAATTCCAACTGTCAAAGGATGAGTCAAAGGTGCGAATTTTAAGATTGCCGATGGGGCTTCCGGGTTCACTTCATGGGAGTTGATTTTATTTTATTTTATTTTATTTTATTAGGTTCGACTTTATCCAAATGGAAGATCTTAAATCCTTCAAGCATGAAGACTGAAGAGAGAGAGAGAGAGAGATAGAGAGAGAAAAGAAATCCCGGCCATCTTTTCCGACCAACGCTTTTTCCCCTCATCGAGTGATTTTCTTTCTCCGCCACCCCCAAATCAGGAAGCTGACAGTTCACAACACCACAACATGTAAACTAGTAATCAACTGACATACATCCGGAGACTCTATAGCACAGTTTACGGCATCTATCAGAAACTTCGTCAGGACTGGCAGATTTGTCACCGACCAGGCCCCCCCCCCCCCAATCTTTCGAGTTCATGTTTCAGGGCTCAGGGGGGGAAAACCGACGGAGATGATCCATAATTCCTACCCAATGGTGGGAATAGTATCCATAATCAATATGGAGTAAGTCTGGATGGCGTTCTCACTCCGACCCATCATCATCATCATCATCATCACCACCACCATTACCACCACCACACTGACCCTCCACGACGTAACCATTTCCTTGACACCTCGGATCCCGCGATAACCTCAATCAGGGGGGGGCCAAAGGGTGGTGGTTTGGTGGTTTGGGTTGTCGTGCGTGCATTGCAACGGGATCTTGCGGTCTATTAGTCGGTGTGTGAAAGTCGTCCGTCCAGCTGTTGTTCGCTCAAGCCTTCTCTTGCTCTCGATCGTTCTTACTCACCCTCACTCACCCTGCAGCTCAAACAAAAAGGCGCCTCGCCCACCCCCCCTCTTCCAAATTGCCGATCAGATGAAGAGGCCTCGAGGTTCCACCGCTCCCTATGTTTGACATCCATCCATCCATCATTGGAGGCTGGGTGATGTGCAGCATGGGGTGGAAGGGGGGAAGGAGAGACATACATATCCGCCCGCTGTAAGTCAGGATGTAGTATGTATGTAATGTACATCTTTCGCGATGACGGTGAGTGGGGAGGGGGGAAGCTGTGGGAAGTGGGTAAGCGTTGAACTCTGGTGGCACTCTGAGTCTAGGAAGTTTCAAACATGTTTAGGCTTTGGAGATTTGGCTGGTGGTGATTGAAGCCTGGTCCCTACCAGTCTAACACACACACACATACACCGTGCATAATCCGTCCAGATAGTGATGCGATCGAGCCCTGCCCCCTGGAGAGAATCCGCGGTTCTCTTTCGTTCTCGATCTGGCGGTCAGTCAGGCAAACAAACTGATTATCTTGGTGGTGGTGGTAGTGGTGGTATTTTTGTCGCCATGCCTTGTCCATGACAAACACGACTCGAGAATCAACTCGTGCGCTGATCGCGACAAAGATGGGAAAATAGAAATGTCGATAGCAAAGGACGAAGTTCTAGCCCCATGAGAGAGTCGGTACCTAATCCAACCCCAACCCATGCGCGGTATCCGCCCGTGGAGCTCTTCCCTTCCCGGCTATTTCTTTAAGCCTTGCTCTGCTGCTCCTTACTCCGGTTGTATATTGTATATCCAACCGCAACAACAAGAGTATTGGCACAGAGGAGACAAGAGTCTTGGATTGGACTCTTGGTAGAGATGATTCACAGCTCTGCGGGACCTCCATCAAAGTGCAAGTCTCAGCCATGGAACCTGGGGTACACGAACCAGAGGGCTATACCCGCTGTCAAAAGGGTTGCCAACCGCCAGAACCAACAAACCACGAACACCCCTGCTATTGTCTGGCCTGCGGGCACGAACCGACCGGACCCAGTACAAAGAAAGTTCTGGATACCCGTTCCCCAGTTTTGACCCACCAATTTACTACTTACTGCCCAGCTATGGAGTATGTACAGGTACATCTATGCCTGACCGATCCCCCTTTCTCGTTTTATACTCAGAGAATCGCAGGGGGTGGTCACACGAAACGTCAAACCAACATGAACGGACAACAAGCCGGTCAACCATCTCTTGACACCCCGGTCGACCTGTGAGCTTACTATGCCTCCCATACCAGGCCATCCCTCGGCCAACTGCTCAGTTATCTGCAGATAAGCATTACCTGCTGGTTGCGCTGCCTCTGCCACCCCCAAACTGTCAATGGCCCCCGTTCCTCCTCCAAGGCTGTTTTCCGGGGTTGATTATTCCGCCTACTTACTTCACGAGTTACTACACTAGGTATATTGTCCCGTACCATGAGAGAGGCGGAGCCTACACAGCGCAGCGTACGCACGTTGTCCCCCACATCCTCCACCCTCAGTCATCCCTCGGTTTCAGCCACGAACAAAGTCCGCCATCCACATACATCCACCTTTCAATAAGCAGTCCAAACTCCGTGCGGGCGAGCGAGCAAGCGAGCTCAAAGCAAAGCGCGGCATTCATTTTGCCGTACAGCATTGCCGGAGCGGACAGATAGAACCCTGGCTAATTTCGAGAGGGGAAACTTCCGCGCCGCGGGGAGGGGGGGGAAACGGAATCAACCCTACGGCCAATACAAGAAATCGACCGACCGTTTGGAAAATTGTAAAAAGGAATCAAATGCGCGGTTAATCATCGTCAACCCTCTCCCTTCTCGGGAGTTCGGTTCCTACCGTAGGGGCTACATTAATTAGACTCAGACTCAGAAATTAGACTGAACCAAGCCCTAGTTGTGATTTGGTGCCGACGGGACCAGGGGGTTCAATTCAAGATTGTTTGTTTAGGCGGCTAGTGGACGGACGGGTATATTTCAGTGGCGGTTCCGCGGCACTTGGGTTTGGAACTTCGGGGAGGGGAGGGGATGGATGTTGGTTTATCCCCCTTTCCTCTTCCTCTCCTTTTTGCCGTTCCTTTGTTCTCGGTTCTTTAGCGTAAGGCTGATCATTATTATTATTATTATTGAAAATGAGTGGAAGGTCTTCTGTCTCAGGTGATTGTTGTCGGGGGAGGAGTCAGTGAGTGTGTCAGATGGATGGATGGACAGGTGTGTGGTTTCAATGTTGCATTGTCGTTGTCGATGAGAATAGATCAATCACTGCTTTAGCTAACGCATTAGGACCTGAGGTGCAGTCGATCTATAGGCGGTCAGGTCTGGATATATAGAACATTCTACATATGCGACTGGGGAGCCCTACTAATGACAAGGAAGGTTGAAACCAGCGAGCGCCGTGCAGCCTGGAAGATCGAATCTAGATTACGTCGCATATGTACTGTACCCCTGGCACAGGCACCTTAGTCCAGTCGGCTTCAGAGAGGTAAAGAAGCAAACCAGGCCACCAAAGTACAGTAGCACTACAATTCTATAATTTTACAAAGTAACCACAAGAATCTGAAAACCCAGTCAATCAATCACACATGTTCTTTGTGATGAAAGATTAAGCGACCGCTCGCTCGCCTGTTTCTTTCATTGACAAACACGTCGCCCTGTGGCTGCTCATCACCGTAGACTATTCGACGCCATCCATTCATTTCCTTTCAATTTGATTGTTGTCATGTGATTTTTATTGTTGATCAAGTACATACTTACCGTAGTGCTAAGTACGGGGTAAAAAGCGGCGAACAGTCCCAACCCCAAACCTCGGCAAAGATTAAAAGTCCGCCAGGGCTGATTTCGGTCAATTTTGTTTTTCCCCTTCCCTTTGAACCTGGCCGACGGGTAAAGGGTTAAAAGCACCCGGGAGGGAGAGCCGGGATCAACGCCGTCCCAAATGGACGGCTCTAGGCCTTCGGGGTTAATTTCTCTGGGGGAACAGACCACGATAAATCCCTCCAGTTAGAGGTCATGGAAAGGGCAGGAGGAGGGCTCGGATAGCTATCGATCACGGATCGTGTATGAATGTCTGATCATTGATCAATGATCAATCAATCGATAGTATGTATGTATAGTCGCTGGAGGTCCGTCCTAGCCTAAGGTGCGAAAGCCTAAAGTGCGGACAGAATGCAATGCAGTCAAAGTACGTACTTACTGGCGCCGGCGGAGACTGGATAACTCCAAAACCACAAGTACAGTAGCCGGTGGGAGCAACATCCATCATCTCTTGCACCCGCGGATGGGCGGAAACTCCTTCCCGGCAATCGAACCGCCGCATCGGATTAGCCCCACAGGTCGGAAAGGAGG